AACTCCTTACCATAGTTGTCACATGTGACTGGTGTTAGCAAGTTTTTTTTGAATAAATTATGAAAATTCATTTCAGTATATAAAACATTAACTTATTCTATTATGCTTATAAGAGAAAGAACACACTATCGGTTGTGTCATGAGTAATCTGTCCAACCAACATCAACAGAAAAAAAAAAACCTACAGTACATTATAAAATACAGTATATAAAATACCAAACAGCTCCTGATTAAGCATGCATACATTATCTAGTCCTCATTCTTCACTGTCAAAAGATTCTGAAAATGAGATCTTCTCCCTACCAGAAGAACCAACTCACTTGGTCCTCAGTCCCCAAACAGCTGGTTAAAGGAAGAATCCTGTCATGGTAAATAAATGGTATCTCATTCACCAAGCTAATACAAAAAAAAAAAGCACTGGACACTGAGGAATTCTACTCTTAGAACTTTTACCAGACGCTTAGGTGTCTCAGCAGTTTAGCACCTGCCTTCAGCCCAGGGCATGGTCCTGGAGTCCACGGATCAAATCCCACATCAGGCTTCCTACAGGGAGCCTGTTTTTCCCTCTGCCTGTGTCTCTCTCTCCTGAATAAATTATTAAAAAGAGAGAGAGAGAGAGAGAGAGAGAGAGAGAACTTTTGCTTTTTAAGACAAAAATCCCTGTTATCCAACTCTTATCAAGCCCAAATACACAAAAGGAAACAAAGTACACAGCATGGAAGACTACTTGCACTCTTTTATTATTTATATCCTTACTGATTTCACTTTATTAAAAAAGAGAGAAAAAAAATCCGTTCAAAACCCTAATTCTGACCACCTCAACTCAAATGATCTTCATTCTCTTCCTCTTGTACTACCCATTCCCTGGACTTCATCATCCTCTAGAGCAGCATACTCTGGCAATCCAAAATTCAACATTCTCTTACTGTCCCAATCTCTATCCTTCTAGCTCTCCCACTCCTTAACTCCACTGCACTTTGATTAAATTGATGCTGCTAGCTCCTTCTCCCTTCCATCTTCTTCCAATCAAAGTTTTGTTGGATTTCCTTCTTTAGGAACGCAACATAGATCTCACCATCTATCATCATTTCAATCACTTTTCTTGCGAACAGTCTAAAGTGTCCCAAGTCAACTTCTCCTGCACTTCTCGAATGTGATCCACTGCTCCCCTCAAACTTTCTATCCTTCACCCCTTACATCACTAATTACTCCTAGCAATAAGCTTGTTCCCTACCTTAGCAAGAATGGAGGCTACAACTTTCTATCTCTCCACAATGTCCCTTCCTCATTCAAATTGATCACATTCAAACTCATGTTTTTTTCTTCCTGTCAGAAGAAAATATGTTCCTTCTCAGACTGAAAGCCAATTCATTCACTTACACCCTTGAAACTCCAGCTTTCTCAGGGTCTTTGCTCTGCAAGTATTCCCTTTCTCTCCCATATCCTTAATCTTAGTTGGCCAGTTGCCTCTTTTTCTTTATTACTGCTATTTCCCAAAGTTCCTTCTTTGACTCTGATATTCTCATTCTATACACTCTTCCAGAATTGTCTACTAGTCCTTTGGTTTCTATTATCATGTATAAACCAATATTTCTAAATCTGAAATTCTAGACCTTCCCCCTTAAGAATCAAACCATCATTTTCAAACATGTATAGTCAGTTCCACTTGAATGTCACGGATAAATCTTAAACTTACTATATTCAGGACTATTCACTTTGCCCCAAAACATCACCTCCTCTTAGTGATCTATCCAGTTTCCCAAGCCAGAACCTGGGAGGCATCACAGAGTTCTCTCTCTACCTTTATAAAAGGTGACTATGCTCTGGTAATTTTACCTGCTAAGTCCTTTTTATCATGCTCTCTCTTTCACACATGCCCACCACAATGCAAGCAACCTCCTGTCTTCCACTACTGCTACCATCATGCAGGCAATCATCATCCATCTTTAAAATTTGCTCTCCTTGCCTCAGTCTCAGTCCCCTCTAATTCTTCCCACCAATACTGTTATAAAAAAGTGTTACTACGTCTGAACTTGATCATATTATTCCCCCACTTAAAAAGCTTTAATGGTTACCAATTACCTTCAACATGAAATTTGACATGGAATATAAAAATACACAATTTCCTCTGGCTGGAACAACCTCCTTCCCTTCTTCTGTTGGCTAGCTTCTATTCATCCTACTCAGCTCAACTCAAGAATTACAAATTCTCCCTGACCATACTTCCAAGCTCAGTTAGATCCCCCTCATTTGTTTCCAGAGTAATGCCTACAAACAGAAAATGACCAAAATGTTTTATTCATTAAGTAGATAAACATAAAGCTTCAGAGATTACTGCCTCTTAAGGCAATGAATTTCAATTACACAGATATGATATGATTTTTAAGGCAAAGAAAAAAAATGTTTCATACAAATATTCCCTAACAAATTAGCTAGCACACTTGTGCTAAAAAAGTTACACTGCTGAAGCATTAAGATCTGCATTTGAGGACTAAGAAAAATAAGCAGGAAAACAAGGAGAAGGAATGTATTGCTGTTATTATTGAATTACTACTTTTATTTTAAAATGACAATGAAATTATAGCCACTATTAAAACGATTTAATATGCAAAGGCTAGATTTATAAATGAAAACAATTAAGATGCAGAAAACTGTGTAGAAAATCCAAAGACAGGAAGTAAATATCAATAAATAAGGCACTATCCTTTACCAATATTCTTTTCTTCTGTAACCACCATGATCAAAAAAGTAGAAATTACTAGAAACTTAGGGACTAAATACAGAAGGTATCATTTCTTTCTACCTAGTTTAAAAGGTACTGGGCGGGGGGGGACATCTGGGTGGCTCGGCAGTTTGGTGCCTGCCTTGGGCCCAGGGCATGATCCTGGAGACCCGGAATCAAGTCCCACATTGGGCTCCCTGCATGGAGCCTGCTTCTCCCTCTGCCTGTGTCTCTGCCTCTCTCATGAATAAATAAATAAAATCTTTAAATAGATAGATAGATAGATAGATAGATAGATAGATAGATAGATAGATAGTACTGGGGAAGGAAACTTCCCTTCCAAAGCAATATATGCGTTTACCACTGTATTGCACTGAGTTCTCGAGTACCCTTAGTAGTTCAGAATTAAGTATTTCTCAAGTAGTAACTGTGAAGATATAAACCAGTATACAGGAAAAGCTTCTTTTAGTTAGAAAAGCTTTGCCTTAAGGTCTACCAAGCACCATCCTCTCCCCATCCCCCAAATATATAAAACTAAAAATGTACCAATTCCTCAGAGAACAGAAGCCAAAATCTGGCACTGCTATTAATTCACCAGGAAAAAAATTAATCAAAATATTTCTTGAAAGCCAAGTGTGCCTCCTAAAAAATCGGTCTTACTAAATTACCGCATTCTTGTTCTAAACTTGACACAGGAAAAAAAAAAAAAAAAACTTGACACAGTAATGGTGGTTATTTTCCAATTCTTTTTTTTTTTTTTTCCAATTCTTAAAGTGGGCTCCTAAACATATTAGAAGTGCCACTGGCACTTACATTCAACAAATTCTTACAGAGTAGGTACTGTGTAGGAAATTACGTATCACAGATACTCACACCAAGAATTATTTTTGCCACTATCTCAAATAGTAGGTGCAATCACTAAGTGATTTGGCCAATGTGCAAGTAAAAAAGCTAATGAGCTTTATCAAAAGTTCCTAGATTAGATGGACTGAGTCCTAGAACTTTGTAAGTTACCTATTTGGAATTCTGGATGCATTTTCCAAAAGAAATAATTTAATAAATATGAATTCGATTCTCAAGCAAATCCACAAAGGCTCTTATGTGTAATATAGAGAAATTCAAGTCTCTATATAAAGTATAAGAGCTGGGAACAGTCGGTTCTATAAATTATTGTTAAAATTACAAAGTGGATTTGAGGCTATTTATTTACCTAAGATTTTTACTTATTTATTCATGAGAAACACACACAGAGAGAGAGAAAGAGAGGCAGAGACACAGGCAGAAGGAGAAGCGGGCTCCATGCCGGGAGCCCGATGGCGGGGCTCAATCCCGGATCTCCAGGATCATGCCCTGGGCCGAAAGTGGCGCTAAACAGCTGAGCCACCCAGGCTGCCCTGGAAGCCTCTTCTATAATACGATTTTTGCTCTGACACTTTCCCATCATGATCTAATAAATCCAACCTTTGAGTCTATTTACATATGAAAGAAAACTGAAGCTCGAAGAGGTTCACGTGTACTGAATCTAACTTCAAACCCCAGCTTCACGTTACAGCACCGCCGAGGGCACAGCACGGTCACTGTGGGCCTCCAATATTCGTCCTAAAGTCGGCGGGCTGCATGGTCTAATACTTCACGGTGCTGACCCGGAGTGCAAGCTGCCTAAGGAGGGAAAAACCACTTCCCGGGGAGTGACACGTCCTACACGCGTCAGGAGCGCAGGGATTTTTACGACAGCGACGGGTGAATGGTTTTTAGAGGCAACAGCACCCCCTAAGTCTTTCAGCTCGGGGTTGGCTAGTTTCAAGTTCGAAAAAGGCCAGGAGGGGCGGCCCGGGGGGGCTCAGCGGTTCAGTCCAGGGCGTGACCCCGGGTCCCGGGATCGAGTCCCGCGTCGGGCTCCCTGCATGGAGCCTGCTTCTCCCTCTGCCTGCGTCTCTACCTCTCTCTGTGTCTATGAATAAATAAATATTTTTTTTAAAAAAAGAAAGAAAGAAAAAGGCCAGGAGAGGCCGGCTGAGTTACGGGAGCCGCCTCACTTCGCCGAGCTCGCTGCTAAGGGCGGAGCACAGGGTTCGGGAAAATCCGAGCGCCCCAGACGTCTTCCAACCCGAGCGTAAGTAAAAGGCGCCCGCGGAGCAGAGCAGCCAGCGCCTCGCAGACCCGGGACGCCGCGGCCGGGCGGAGACCAGCCGGGCGCCGGCAGGGAGGGGCCGCGCGCCGGCATCCCGGGGCCGGCCCGCCCGCCCGCCGGCCCTCTCCCGGCGTCGCCCCGGCTCACCTCTTTGACAGGTGGGAATTTCTTCTTGCACTCCAGGGACAAGGCCCGCAAATCGCTCTGCATGTTCTCCAGCAGCTTCTTCACTGCCTCCGGGCTGCTGGTGCCGGACATGGTCCACAGAGCTACGGGCCGGCCGCGGAGAGGCGCGAGCGAGCTGCAGCTCCGTCAGCTCCTCGGGGCGGCCCTCCCGCAGCCCGCCTCCGGGGCCCGGCGGGGCTCGGCTCGGCCTGGGCGGCGAACCCGCGGCGAACCCGCGGCGAGCCCGGGAGCCCCCCGCAGCCTCCTCGCAACGCTCGCGGCTCCTCCCCGCGGCGCCCCCCGCGGTCGCGCCGCCCCGCCCCGCTAGGCGCCGCCGAGCCCACCGGCGGCCAGGTACCTCCCGCTGCCGCGGGGTCCGGCCGCTCGGCGCGTCGCCCACCAGCCCGGCAGAAGCTTCAGCGCCGGCTCCCCGGGCCCTCCAGACGCGCCGACGCCATTAGCAGACTCGCCCACAATCCCGCGCGGCCGGGACACGTCAGCCGCACTTCCGGGCACCGCGGCCACCGCCCCCGCCGCGGCCAACGGGGGGCGGCGAGCCGCAGGGGGCGTGGCCTGGGGCGTGGCCCGGGGGCCGGGGGCGTGGCCTGTCCGCTCCGGGCCGGGGGCGCCGCTTTCCCCCGCGCTGGTCGGAGCGGCTCTTTGGCTCGTCTAAATTTGCTTTTTTTTTTTTTTTTAGGTGGCAGTTCTGTGAACGGAGCCACGTACGTACGTCTCAGCGTCTGCTTGTGTCTAGGTGCATCTCGGTGTAAACAGCGGGCTTCCTCTGGATTCGTCGCCTGCCTCCCGGGACTTTCTGCCCTGCTCAGCGTCTACGCTGCAGCTGCTCCGGAGCCGAACGGGGCACACGGGGGCGCTTCCCGCCGAGCACTCACCTATTTCCCAGGTCCGTAAGGTGGGAGGTACAACTACCCTTTGTTGCAGACCCTCCGCCAAAGTCAGGCAGAATCCCTCCTTTCTGCCCCGCGCCTGCCTCCCACCGCAAGTCCCCGGCTAAAAGGAGCTTTAGATGCGTTGGGATTTTTTTTTCTTTTCTTTTCTTTTCTTTTCTTTTCTTTTCTTTTCTTTTCTTTTCTTTTCTTTTCTTTCTTTCTTTTTTTTTTTTACACCTCTTGTCCCTTGCTGAATCTCCAGCACTTAGTGCATTGCTTGGCACGTTGCAGGCCATCAGTAAATATTTGAATGAATGAGTACCCAAAACAGTTTAAGATTGTATCTATTTATTCATGAGAGACGCAGAGAGAGGCAGAGACACAGGTAGACGGAGAAGCAGGCTCCGTGCAAGGAGCCCGACGTGGGATGCGATCCCGGAGCCCCGGGGTCACGCCCTGAGCTGAAGGCAGATGCTCAGTCGCTGAGCCACCCAGGCGTCCCCCCTAAAACAGTTTGATAAATAAATAAATAAATAAATAAATAAATAAATAAATAAATAAATAAATAAAACAGTTTGTTGCTCATATAAGAAACCGATGAATGTAGCACATATACGTGAGGCAAAAGTAGACAGAAAAATGTGCTTCTCCGAAGGTCCAGGTCAGTCTCTGGCCCAAGACATCCCGCAGCTACCGAGTGCAAGCGGAAGAAGGGAGAGGGAGAGCCTGAACCGCGGTACAGGTCGGAGATGAAGAAATGAACGCCTGCAGTCGACTGAGCTGATGACATCTCTGCAGCATGGGGGACACTGGACTGTCCTCAGTGGGCGACAAGGTTTGGCTGTAAAACAAGGTCTTGCACCACAAGTGCTTTGTAAACGAAATAGATTTTTTTTTCCATCCGACAAGAAGGATTAAAGCCAGGATGGATGAAGGTAGCAGATGATGTATATGAGTTCTCAGAACATCATTTGTGCCTATTACACAACTTTGGGAAATTTGACGGCTCCTATGGTGTAGGTTTTATGAATTAAAAGCTGTGAAATTAAGGGAAAGAAAGCTTAGATACAATATGTGGCAGACATTCTTGAGGTCTCAGGGAGATTTTAAAAATGATACTCCTTTTTTTAGTTATTTAAATTCAATTTAGTTAGCATATACTGTATTATTAGTTTCAGGGGGAGAATTTAATGATTCATCATTTGCATATAACACTCACTGCTGGGATCCCTGGGGGGCTCAGTGGTTTAGCTCCTGCCTTTGGCCCAGGGGCTGACCCCAGGGTGCAGAGATTGAGTCCCACTTTGGGCTCCTGCAGGGAACCTACTTCTCCCTCTGCCTGTGACTCTCTCTCTCTCTCTCTGTGTGTCTCTCATGAATAAATAAATAAAATCTTAAAAAACAACAACCCAGTGCTCATTCTATCAAGTGCCCTCCTTAATGCCCAATTATCCTTTCCCCCCACCCACCTTTAAAAAAAATGATCCTCTAATAATTGGCTCATAATCTACCACCAAGCTTCCTCCTAGTGCCTTTCCCTATGTGGCCAATTTTTCTTTTGAAATTTAAGTTTTTTATTATTAGTGATTTTGGCACAATTGACTCAAAATCCTCTTTCTTCGAGTCCTTTATATCTTTTACATATAATTGAGGGAATGCAACTGGAATTCATTATTTAAAAATAACACAATGATTTGAAAAGCCAAAATTTTCTTAAGGTGTAGCAATTACCTATAACCACTATTCTGTAAGTTTTTTTAAATAATATTTTTAATTTATTTATTCATGAAAGACACAGAGACAGAGAGACAGACACAGAGAGAGAGAGGCAGAGACACAGGCAGAGGGAGAAGCAGGCTCCATGCAGGGAGCTTGACATGGGACTCGATCCCGGGTCTCCAGGATCAGGCCCTGGGCCGAATGCAGCACTAAACCGCTGAGCCACCCAGGGATCCCCTATAAGTCTTTTTTAAAAAACAAAAACAAATAGTTTTCAATGTACATATGCCCAGAGAGATTGTACTGCCACAGAAACAACACCTGGCTTTATGGCAAAACTTAAGTTACCTGGGGCAAAAATCATTTTTGGTTCTATAAGTTAAGAAATCAGCTAAACACCGGAGTTAGCATCCCGAAAAACAGAATCATTTTAATCTTCAGTTGCCACGTCTTTATTTTTTTTTAACATTTATTTACTTATTTGAGAGAGAGAGAGAGAGAGAGAGAGAAAGGGGGGAGTGAGTAGCAAGCAGACTCCCCCTGACACCGGGCTCTACCTCAGGGCCCTGAGATTATGACCTGAGTTAAAATCAAGAGTCCCATGCTTGACCAGCTGAGCCACCCAGGTGCCCCAGTTTCCACATCTTTAAAAGAAGGAAATCCAAGTGCCTTCCTTATGAAATACTTCTACTATGTAAATGAGATGGTACGGATAAAGCACAATGCTTGGCACACAATGAGTATTAAATTAATGTTTTAGAAGCCCAATGTGGTATCATTGCACCATGGAGCCACCCAGTAAGTCAATGTTTAAGTATATTTTTTATATATTTATATACATATTTTATGTACAAATATATTTTAAAATATATATTACATATATATTAGGTAGCTCTTCTGTGATCATCACTCCCACTATCCTTTATTAAATTCTAAATAGACTTAATTATCAATAAGTTTTAACATTCTAATTGAAAACTAGGGAACCCAGTTCTTTTTCTGGGCCTTTGTCATGAATCTTTTAGAAAATGTATTTTAAATAAATAACGGACTAGTATTCTTGTGTAATAAGAAAACTTGTCTAATGTCATTCTGAACTATCTGTTTTAGTTCATGGTGAAATACAGATATTACTCAATTTACCTTTCCAGTTGTTCAATTCTTCAGATTTCACCATCAGTCCCTTACTGTCTGCTTTTCTCTTTTCCACCTATTCCTTAGAGATTCATATTTCCCAGAATTCTATTTTTTGCACTCTTTTCTTCTTTTTATTCTCCTGGAGTGATCCTATTATGCACACCGATGGTTTCAGTTATTACCAACCTGTGGATAACAACAACTCTGTATGACATCGATATTGACAAACAGCAATAGATTGTCCAGATTAACAGAAATACTGCAATAGCAATGTGTTTGCAATATCAGCTAAAAGATGAAAATGCGAGCTTCTCAACCTTCCAAACATGGAGACTTTCTGGAATACATGACGTCAGACCTTCTAGAAACTTCATTTCCCTTTCTGAGCCTACCTTATATATGTAAAGGTAGACTGGTCCTATACAAGGCATTCTCTAGAGACCATCTCATCTAGGTAGGTAGCTCATCAATCTCAAGAGTTATGTAGTGCACAAGATGATAGCTAAGGTGCTCTTTAGAGAGGATATTCAGACTTGAAAAAAACCTTTATTTTTAGCGTCTCTGTGCTAATGTCCAAGTACATTCCTGAATTTAGTGCTACGGGAATAAAACAAGAAACTGCTACTGGAATATCTCTGAACATCATGATATCAAGCCCTTTTACACAAATATCTAACTCCAGAGTTCTTGTGTGAGATCTAGACATGAATACCCCACTGCTTATTGGACATCTTTACCCGGAAGTCTCATTGGCACCTACAATCCTCCCAAAAAAGGAGTTGGTCCTCTTCATACATTGCCTTTCTCGGTGAAAGAAATTGGTTGCCACTATCCATCTGGTTCCCATCTGGTTTTCCAGATCAGGAAACAAAGAATCAAACTTGATTCTTACTGCTTCCTCATCTACCACATTTAAGCTAAATCAATTTCTGTTTGTTCATCCCCCTTTGTAACTTTCAATTCATCCATTTTCTCCATTCCATTCTCTGGCAATCATCATCTCTCACCAGCTTAAATATTATTTATTTATTTATTTTGAGAGAGAGAGAGAGAGCTGGGGGAGGCAGCAGAGGGACAGAAGAGGAAGGGGGAAAGAATCTGAAGCCAACTCTGCCCTGAGTGCAGAACCCACCCAACGCAGGGCTCCATCTCATGACCCTAAGATTATAACCGGAGCCAAAACCAAGAGAGGGACACTTAGCCGACTGAGGCACCCAGGCGGCCCTCATTGGTTTAGGACAACAGTTTCCAGTGTACAGTCCCTACCTCTGGTCCATTTCTAAGCTATTTTCCACGCTTGTCCCAGAGTCTTCTTTCTAAAAATGGAAGTATGAAGCCCTTTTATGGTTTTCTAATGTTTTCAGATTAAAGCCCAGACTCCTTTACATGGTGTACTGCGTAGATTCAGAGACCTCAAGCAGTAGGGCTTGTGAAAATAAGAGACTAAGGAATTTAAGCCACGGGGCCGAGCCCTACAGGAATACAGGAAAAGCTTGGGTTCCTTTTCATAGAGTTTGGAAGCTAGAAAACCCTTTGGCGCCCGTGACTGCTTGATTAATCTCAGCAGCAGGTGTGCGTTGCTTCCTTCTCACCTCATCTGCTGAAGTATTCCTGAGACACATCTCCTCCATGTCTCTGCTAAGACTTCTCTTGATTCTACCAAACCAGTTCCCTCACTCCTGATTCCAGACATCACCAGCATCTTGCTGTCTCATAGC